ACAATCACTATAGTGGATGCCTTAATTAGAGATGGGTGGTGAAAAGCAGCACAGCTTCATCAAACTCAACATTTACCAAGGATCTGACCCACAAATTCCAGTACCAAACATGCAAATTTTTTTCATATTCAAGTGCAGCTAAGTACTTGAGGCAACCAAGGCACCAGTGAATGCAAATGGAATTCCCTAGCTGTGGTCTGAAAGGTAAATATGGGTTTAGCTTTCATGAAACTCAGGAAAAAAAAAAATAAAAAAGCAAAGCAGCTGATCGGTCATGTTAAATATAAATGACAGTTTACCTGTGATACTAAAAAGGGATTTTAGCTTCATTAAAAACAAAAGCTAACTACTATGAAGGAGATGAGTGAGCTATTACAACACTGAAAGACTTAAAAACGATACCCCAGGAGATAACATTCTGAGAATAAAGTGAAAGAGCTCATATAAAATACAAAAGGTGTGTTGTAAAGAAGGATCAGAAGGGCAGACTTTGAGCTTCATCCAGTCATAAATCAAAAGCTTGTTCTCCATCATTCTTGTCTATGAGGTCAGCTTTGATTCCCAAGCTACAATTCCCAAAGGATGGAGGTATTTCTATTGGCAAGTATGTGTCTTTCTTCCCCCGGGCTGGCTCTGCCAGCCCTGCTGTCACCATGGACTGTCATTATCTCAATCTCTTTACTGCCCAGGATTGTTCCATCCTGGAGCCATAGGGAACTATCACAGGGCTGCGAGAGGAAAACCCTTTCAGAAGACTGAGGGCATTTGCAACAGATTAATTGACAAAGAAGTTTATCAAGCCAGGCCATCTGCAATAGTTCAGTGATTCCCCTTCACAGGGACCAAATGCTTTAGCACTCCAGGTGACATGTCAGGGATACAAGCTGTTACACAAAATAAAAGTGTTAAAAAACAATTCAAAAACTCTACCACCAAATAATATAATATCAATTCTCTATCCAGTCATGTGCTTCATATCTTTTGCATTTGAGTAACTGCAGCAATAATCTTTAAGCTTTAGCTCAGGCAGACTGTCCACACTCACAAGAACAGTCTGTGTAAACAGGGCTCCCCACCTGAGCACTGGAGACTGGCTCAGCATCCCCATTTGCAGTCAGGCATCTCTGCGTGCACAGATGAAGGGCAGACACTTCCCAGACTGAAATAAACACAAAACACATTTAGCATGTTGTTTCCTCAACCTTCGTGTAACATACTAAACCAGATAAGTGTTTTCTTAAGTCGAAAAAACAATAATTTCAAAAGATTTCTTGAATAATACTCAACACACCAGACTTCTACAATGTCCTCACACAGTGAGTTCTATTATTTCCTCCATTAGTATCATAAAGGTTTTACTTCTGTAATTCTCACTTACTATAGAGCAACGTTGGTGTGTGGTGTAAAACCTGATAGTTACTGCGGGTATCCCTAACAGAGATAACATTTACACAGAATAATACAGACATCTGATCCCGTATGTTTCTAGAGATAAAAACCTTCATTCTTTTGACAATTCGTAAGGGGAAGGCTTCGAGGGAGGTAAAACCTAAATTTTTAATACAAGATCGCCCTCTACTGTTTAGGAGAGAGGAAAACGAGTGAGGATCGCAGAGCCTGGTTTGGGCTGGAAGGGACCTTAAAGCCCAACTCGTTCCAACTCCTGCCAAGGCAGGGACACCTTCCACTACCCCAGGCTGCTCCAAGCCCTGTCCAGCCTGGCCTTGGGCACTTCCAGGGAACTGTTCCACATATTTTTATCCTACATAAAAAACAACCTGGAAAAGTAAAATGATTCCTTGTGGGTTGTTGTGGTGATATGATGGTGGAGGGCTCCCAAAGAGACCTGGGACACCACATTAATTAATTAGGCTTACTAAAACTTCCAAAAACTGAGATATGAAATGAGAAGTGACATGCCTTTGGCATCACAGATGATTGCCTGGAGTTATCACTTACTGATGTTCTTCAAATTATTTTGATGATTTGGACATTTCAGATCTGATTTTATATCTCCTTGCAGGGAAAGCTCGCACCTATAGAGCTTGTTTATTCAAGGTTTATCTTTACCTAAGAGGATGTGCCTTCAATCTCCTCCCCTCCTTGTTTCACACCACTTCCCTGGCTGTCTCTGCCACACATTCACATTCATTCCAAGCTTTTACCTGATGTAAATCAATTATTTATTTTGTCCACGAAACCTGAGTGCTGAATGGCAGATAGAAGATGCCACATGTGTGCAGCACCCCACTGTCCCAGAGATGAGGGCTCTTCCCATGACCCAGGGACAGCAAAACCAGGTTAGGCTTGGCTGTACTTATCTGGAATTTCAACATTTTACTGGTGTGAAAAGTTATGAACTCGGGATATAAAGCTCTTCCCTTTGGTTGGTGCAGGCAGACACAAGAGCCAGGTGTACCCAGAGGAACATCTGACTGCAGTTCCTGGCTCAGCCAATTATCTAGAAGCCAAATTAAAATTCTGATTAAATCATAGCTTTCACCAACTAAATCGTCCAAATTACACATTTCAACCTTATCCACTTCACAGGCCCTCAGTCCATGAACTCACAAAGACTTCCAGAATGTAAAGCCTTGATGTTGATGCTCTCCTTTTTATATGTCAAAAGGACACTTTTTGGCAGAAAACTAATCTTTCCTACAAAATACACAACAAACAATTTGATGTGCTGGGCAACAGCTCAATTTAAGAAATAAACAGACCACCCTGAGAGGCACTCAGCCAATAAACACAATATTTGTCATTTAATTCTGGAAGATGCCAAGGGTAATAAGAAAATTCACAGGACTTCCCACTGGGCTCTTTTTCCCAACCTTTTTCCTAGATCTAGTTCAAATTTCACACATTCTAGCCCTATTTATTTCTGCCACAGCCATTATCACCATTTTCCATGCAATACCATTTTGATTTCCACTACATGAAGGCACCCAAATTCCTGAGAATTCTTTTGATCTTTCAAAGAATGACCAGGAGCATTACCACTGTTGCTCTTTTTGTATTTATTTACCAGCCTCATGCTGCTGCTTCCATAAAGGTGCAATCCCCAGACTTCAAGTCCGCAATAACTTTCTCCTGAACAGGCAAAAATCAATAACAGGAGGAAAAAAAACCCAGCAAATTTCACATTTTGATCAGAGTACATGTGTTGCACATAATATCTGATGGGACCACTGCTAAAAACAAAAGCAAACAACATACCTGCTCCTTTGTGCCTCTCCTGAGTTATTAAAATCTTGTTTGCAGCTGCAGTGACTGGCTGTCCTCACGTTCCCTCAATCCTTAGGATGTATTTCTTCCCACAGCTCATCATAGTCTGCAACATCTGGATTGTTTTAATTCCCCATTATGCTCAGCAAGGTAATTTTTGTACCTCTGCTATCACATTCTGAGTTTTAATAAACTCATCTTCTCCTTGATCCTCTCATCATCTGTTTCTCCATTCCCTGAACCCATCCTAAATCCTGACATTTCAAGCAATTTGCTCCTTCTCGGGCAGATTTCAATAAAGCTTCCAGCTCTGGAACCAAAGCTACCAATGTAGGACTAAAATTTAAAATCTCCACACCTGGAGGTCTTGCACTGGTCCTGCTGGGAATCCTACCAAGCTCAAACCACTTGTGCCCAGCCATTCCTTTGACTTGGAACATCTTTGGAAGCCTCCATGGCATTATCCTCTAAACTGATGCCAAAACTCACTGTTTGTGTCTAGATCCTTCACAGCTGTGTGTGTGTCTAAACACAGCCTGTAGAAATGTCTTAATACAATTTTAAAAATAAAATCCCACACTGTTCATTTACGTATTTCTTCTTCTTGATTAATGGCCAGAGTTACTCACAGAATAAACCAGAAATTCTGCAAAAAAAGATCTACTGGAATGCCCTAAGCACAGGCAGCAGCCCAGCTCTTAAAAAGAAGAAGCTGAAAGTATTTTTTCTTCCCTGGAGCAATCCTTCATGTTCAGATAAAAACACCATGCAAGAGCATCAAAAAACTATTTTTACAGCACGATTAAAGCAGTACCATGACAAGAATATTTGACTTCAAGTTCATGGCTTAAAAGAGCAGAAATTACTCATTTTCTACTGTTAAAAGGTCCTGTGGTCTCTGCACATGGAATTGACCACCCAAAACCTCCACAAGGCACCTGCTCAAGATCATTCCTGCTCTTGCATATCCTGTGAGTGAAGGCTCACATCCATCTCCATTTTTTATCATGGAATCAGGGAACGTTTTGGGTTGAAAGGGAATTTAAAGCCCATCTAGCTCCATCCTCTGCCATCAGCAGGCACTTTCCACTAGACCAGGTTGCTCCAAGCCGATCTTAGAACATTGCCAGGGATGGGGCAGCCACAGATTCTCTGGGGAACCTGTGCCGAGGCCTCACCAACCTCACAAGGAAGAGTTTTCTCGCCAATATCCCATCTAACCCTGCCATATATCTTTGTGAATTCATTCCCCCTTGCCCTATCACTCTTAAGAGCCACTGGAACTACCAGGAATAGGATAGTGAATGATGAACACACCCCGAGAGGGATTTAAAATGGAATTAGGGGCGGGGGGTGCGCCCACGCCCCTCCCTCGAGCCCTCACGGAGCCCGGAGCCCTCACGGAGCCCCGCCCCCAGCGCTCGAGACCGCCCCTTCCCGCCTCGCCGCCTCACCCAATCAGCGCAGAGATCACAGCATCTATTTGCATATTAAAGACCGCCCTCCTCGCTGCTCACCAATCAGAGCGCTCCTCTCATGAAGACGGGGGAAAGACCTGCTCGGCTTTCCACGCACCCGCTGAGCCGCAGCTTCCCATTGGGCGATGGGCCGGTGGGCGGGGCCAATTTGAACGGGCGGCGGCGGGGAGCGGCGCCATGGTGAAACCGCTGAGGGATCGGGATCGGGATCGGGATCGGGATCGGGATCGGGATCGGGATCGGGATCGGGATCGGGATCGGGATCCTGGTACTGCCGAGGGTCCCGGCCCCACGATGAGCCCCCCGCTCTCCCCGCAGCCCGCTGCGGCGCCAGCCGACGGCTTCGCCTCCTCAGACGATGAGGCCGCCGAAGAGGACCCGAGCCCGCTCCACATCTCCTGGTGAGGCGACACCCGCGGGATCCTTGCTCTGAGGGAATTGTATGAAATCCCTATCATGAAATAGGATTAAATCGCTATCCTGAGAAACAAGAGGGTTTTCTCTCCGCAAGGAAAACCCGAGCCGGGCTCTGGAGACCTTGCAGGCTGGGGCTGGCCGGTGCTGCTGGTGTCAGTGGGTGTGGGTGGGTTGGAAGGGACCGCTGGAGCCCAGCGCTGCTCCAACCGCCCTGCCCAGGCAGGATCGCCCACAGCAGGAGCCAAGGATCGCACCCAGGTGGGTTTTAAATGTTTCCAGGGAAGGAGAGTCCACAACTTCCCTGGGCAGCCCGTTCCAGGCCTCTGTTCTTTACTCACAGGGTGGGGAGGCCCTGGCACAGGGTGCCCAGAGCAGCTGTGGCTGCCCCTGGATCCCTGGAAGTGTCCAAGGCCAGGTTGGACAGGGCTTGGAGCAGCCTGGGCTGGTGGAAATTGTCCCTGCCCATGGCAGGGGATTGGAACAAGACGATCTTTAAGGTTCCCTCCAACCCAAACCTTTTGTCACCCTCAAAGTAACATTTTTCCTCATATTCACTTCCCACGTTTCATTTTGTGCCTGTTGGTCCTCGTTGTCCCACCAGACACTGGTGAAAAGGTCTGGCTCCATCCTCTTGACACCCCCTCCAAAGACATTTATATATTTAAATAATTGAAATCTTCCCTTCTGGTTTTTATTTATTTTAGTTTTTATTTTCTAATAGGTTGTCTTTGTCTCCTCTCTACTCTTCAGAGTTCCTGGGATTATGTTCCCTTCCAGGTAAGAAGCATTCACTGAAATTTGCAGGCATATTTGAGAGCTGAAGAATGGTAATACCTTGTACCCCAAATTTCTGTGTTGTGGGCGACTTCTTTTGTAATCTACCCCTGGAATAAGTGTTTTGGAAACACCAGAGCTAATCTAGAGAATATCTTAATGCCAGATCACGTTTTTTAAAGTCAAAAAAGTAAACATATAAACTTTGTCTGCATTTTTAACTATCAAAACTGCAGCCATAGTGAATCTCCACTCAACTCTTAAGTGATCTTTATTCACCCCTTTTATTTGTTGGATGATTTTTTGTGTTTTAGGGGGGGATTTTATGCTGTATCTTGATTTAAAATATCCAAAACTTTTCACCTGGAAAACACAAAGCACCTTAAAACCTTGGGCAGATTTATTTAGTTAATCCTATTACATTACAGTTTTAAGCAGATAATGGTGTTTAAACTGTCTTCTGCACCAGGGATCTACTTGCAAAAACAAGAACTGTGTTTTATTCAGGCGTGGCTTTGCTCCTTGCTTTGGTTTTGGGGAGAGGCTGCCTGTGCTCTGTTCTGCTGCAGCTGCCATCCCATAAATGTCACTTACCTGAGTGGTGATTGGTGTTCATATCTTGTTTCAGGTTGCAGGTTTAAGGATATCAGAAGAAATCTTCAGAAAGATATAGGTGAGTGTTCTTTGTGCCAAGGGCAATTCCATGAATATTCCGTGACTATGGAATAAATAGTCAGGATATTTCCAGGCAGGAGCTGCACAGTACCCTTGAGGCATCTTCAGAGCAGCTGGCATCAAGATGAATTACAAGCTTGTAGTCTTCCATTTTTCCCAGAGAAAAGTGAAATTGGGATAGAAAGGAGGGAATTATGTAAAGATTTGTGCTGAGTATTCATCTGTAAGCACTAAAGAGCAGAGACAGATAGCAAATCCCCAGTGTCTGGGTAAGTCAGGCTTAGGAAGGAGCTCCTGCCTCTGAGGGTGGGGAGCCCTGGCACAGAGAAGCTGTGGCTGCCCCTGGATCCCTGGAGTTTCCAAGGCCAGCTTGGATGGGGCTTGGAGCAGCCTGGGATGGTGGAAGGGGTGGAATGAGATGGGTTTTAAGGTCCCTTCCAACCCAAACCATCCTGGGATTCTGTGATTTTAACTGGAGGTGGGATAGAAACATACTTAAGTGGATAGCAGGCTGTCCTGAGTGCTGCTGTGTTCTCCAGTGAGACTTCTCTCAGGATTCCCTCTGAACTGAGAAAATTCCTCTCCTGGATTACCTGAAGGGAAATGTGGGAGAGACTCAGTGGAAGAAAGAGGTCCCTTCCAACCACTGCTCACTCCAACCAAAACTGCTCACTCCTATTGTCTTAGCCCCAAAGATTAAACAAGGGCCAAGGTGCTTATCTGTTTATCCTTAAGCTTGATAGGCTTTTCTTTATCTGCAAGTGTCTTAATCTGTTGGCAGGAGAACTGAAGAGCTGTGGGATCCAGGATGTCTTTGTGCTTTGTACCAGAGGAGAGCTCTCAAAATACCGAGTACCAAACCTGATGGACACCTACCAACAGCACGGGATTTGTGTGCACCACCACCCCATTCCTGATGGGAATGCTCCTGACATTGCCACCTGCTGCAAGATCCTGGAAGAGCTCAGAACCTGCCTGGAAAATAAGCAGAAAACAATGATACAGTAGGTTCAGGCTGCCTCCCCGTCACCCCATGTTCCTGTAAAGGATGCCAGCTTCTTTCCAGCTGTATGAGCAGGGGAAATAGGATGGTGTGAGAAGGCAGTTGCACTATTTAGGGTTAGTTCATGCTGTGAAGTCTGCTTGTTCCTCCTCCTGCAGCTATTTGGAGAGAATTCTTCCTTTCAGAAGATCAGAATATCCCATTTCAAGATTAGAATGTCCCATTTCCCCTTGATGTGTCCAGCAGGAGTTTTAAAGTGTGTTTTGAGTGGCACCACAGGGCTCCTTGCTCCCAGCCTACCTGGATATCAGGGGTACAGAATGAGTTGGGAGCTAAAACACTTCTTTGTCAGAGGCTGTGACTGCCCCATCCCTGGAAGTGTTCCAGGCCAGGGATGGGGCTTGGAACAGTCTGATCCAGTGGAAGGTATCCCTGCTCATGGCAGGGGGTGGAATGAAGTGACTCTGAGGTCCCTTCCAACCCAAACCACTCTATGAGTCTATAACACATCCCTGGACTGTTTATCAGGGACTCAGTGGGTTCCAGCAGTGCAACATTCACTCCTAATTTCCATGAACAGGTTTAAAGGAGTTTATTTAGCTGAGCTCAGAAGAGAGGGGAAGAGCTTTCCAAATTCCATGTTCCTTGAAAGATCCCACTGACACCTTCCTGTACAGACATCCACTGAGTCCTTGGTGTTTCTGCTGACACAGAACCCTGCTCTTCTCCTCACAACTGTCCTCAAACCCTTAATCTGGAATAGGATTTAAAGTAATTTGTAATTGTCCATCCTCCTACTGCTTCCTGTCCTCCTTTGCCTTTGGGACTGTTAGCAGGAATGAAGGGGAACTTCAAAATTGAAGTTTCCATGGAAAGATACAGAAGGTCTGGAGAATAAATAGGATATATCCCCATAGGTATAGAAACAGAACATAGAAAATATGTAGAAATTCTTGTTCTGACTTTTTTTTTACCACTGCTCCTCTTGATTATATTAAGGCAAGAACTGTGTCCATCTATTTATGTGTTGGGGGCCCTGGGTGCTGCAGTTTGCCACAGCTCATTACAACCAGATGTTTTCTTTTCTCCCAGCTGTTATGGTGGCCTTGGACGCTCGTGTCTTGGTGAGTATTTGTCTCCATGCCTGACTAACCCATCCCACAAAGCCACAGAGCCAAATTCTGCTGTGGGAGCAGACCCCATCCCACAAAGCCACAGAGCCAAATTGCTTCTCTGTGGATGCAATCCAAACTGCCACTCCCAGGAGCAGCCTGGTTAATTGAAAGGACATGAACCAATTCCTCTGCACCTGGTTCATCCCGGTGCTGCCCCTTAAAGCTTTCAGGAGCGTTAGTTACTGTGTGTTCCCAGAGGAAGGGGTGATGATAAGGCCAGAAGACACAAAGGGGAATTAACTGGGTGTACTGGCACTCATTCCTGAAAAGCCTAGGAATTGCATGCCAGATGCTGCTGGGAAGGCAGGGGGAAAATAGCGGGAAGGTTTTCACCTTTTGCCAAAGTCCATAGGCTTAGGCAGGAGCAGCAGGCAGATGGGCCAGTGCCCAGAAATAGGATTCTGCAAGAGATCCAAGAGCTCTGGGACCTGGATAGGTTTGCCAGGATGGTTTTCATGGGACAAATCAGTGGCTGTGTGCAATCAGAGGTGCCCAGCAGCATTCAGGTGTAAACATTTTCCCCTGCAGTGGCTGCATGTCTCCTGCTCCAGCTTTCGGACACCCTGGCACCTCAGCAGGTGATAGAGAGCCTCAGGAACCTGAGAGGATCAGGGGCCATCCAGACTATCAAGGTAATGGGGATGCAGCAGGTAATACACAGGTCCTAAAACAGTGAGAGCTCAGCCAGTCCCCTCCTTCACTTCCCAGAGATACCTCTGTGTTTCTAACACCTGCTCCCTGGGGTTTGAGCTGTTTCCTGCTTTCAAGAAACAGCTTCTCCCAGGAAACTGGTGACTGGACAAGAGGAAAAGGCCTCAAGTTGTGCCAGAAAAGGTTTAAGTTGGATAATAGAGAAAATTTCTTCACTGAAAGGGTTGTCCAGCCCTGGCACAGCTGCCCATGGCAGTAGTGGAGTCCCCATCCCTGGAGAGATTTAAAAGCCATGTGGATGCACTTAGGGATGTGGGGTAGTGGTGGCCTTAGAGTGCTGGGGGAATGGTTGGACTCAAAGACCTCAGAGAGAATTTCCAACCTAAATTATTCCATGATTCAAAATAAAGCAGCTTTGAATTCTGACAACTCCCACCTCTGAGGACCACGTTTTGCATTACTTTGGGGTAATGCATCACCTGTGGCCATGATGGGGAACCACAGGATCCAGGTCAACATCCATGGAATCTGTGTCTGACAGTGAAAAATCCCAGAGGATGCGGAGTAAACACACAGAGAACAAATGTACCAGAGGGTGCAGTTTTCATCCAGGGGTATCAAACAGCTTTTTAACACAGGTGGTGCCTCTTAAATCACAGAGCACTCACTGCAGACCTGGTTGTGCATTTCCAGCAGTACAATTTCCTCCATGACTTCCGGGAGAACCTGGCTGCACACCTGGCAACAAAGGACCCGGTGCTGAGATCGGCATCGCGGTAGCTGATCCCGGGCATCTGTGCCTGGGAAAACTCCTGGACAAGACACCTCTCTCCTGACCTTTCCTCCTTGCTACTGCCTGTGTGACAGAGCTGCTGCCTTCCAAATCCCTGTGTAAAGTATTGGGATGGGGAAGGAAATCCTAGAGAACATGTGGCATCTTCCCCTCTTTAGTGACTTTAATACTCACTGCCTGAAAAATACGTGTACAAGTGTGTTTGTGTCCGTTGCTGTTCTGCTGGGAGAATGGAGCTGGATAGAAATTCCATCTGTGGAGCTGTTTAAAAACACCCTCACACCATCAGCTCTGCTGTAAAGCAAAGTCAAGTCAAGCTGGAGCACTCACCCTTGCGAGCTCGTAACAACTCGTTCTAAAGTGTCACGGTTCTGCTCAGTGTGTTGAGGGGTATTTGGGAAGGAGTCTCCTCATTCCAAAAGCAGGAGGTGTTGCACCACAAATCTGTGACAAAGCCAGCAGGGGGGTTGTAGGTGACTGTGGCAGGAAGACACTGCAGCAGCTGCGTGGGTGAGCTGGCACAGCCCTTCTGCCTGCTGCCAGCACTGAGAGCAAACAAACAATCAGCTGTGGGCTGGCAGGATCTCACAGGAACAGCCCTCTAGCAGTCCCCAGCCCTCCTGTTTCACTACATCCACTCAAAGCAAGATGAAACAGCTCCTGGCTTTTTCTAAAGTTCAGGATTTTGATAAAGTTGAGGACCATCTCAAGTCAAAAGTAGAGACTCCACACACCAGGGGGCTGGAGTTGAAGAAGTGTCTGCTTTGTGAACTTCAGAATTTATCTTTTAACATTTGAACTTTGAGTACAAATGTGATTTTGCAGATTGATTAGTGTTTACTGCCATTCCCCTCCCTACTCTTACAACAAACAACAGGAACTTTTCCAGTTTCCACAGCACAGAATAGTTTACAGCAAATACCCTGCCCCATATGTGCTTCAGTACTTAATCCTTGCATCTAATGGTTTTCAGATATTAAATATTTATCACATGACTCAGCAGGAAGCTTGCTGAGGGCGAGAGAAATGTTCTTTATCTTCTCCATAATCATTTTGCCTCCTAGAACTCTAAAAAAAATTATCAGGTCCACATTTTGAATGCCAAAGGCCTGGTACTCCAGCAAGGCATCACACAAGAGCTCCTCCAACATTCCTGGGAAAGGAGGCTGACGTTGCTGGACAGGGATGGTGTTATCCACACCCCTGGCAGCTGGGAATACTCATCTGCACCCCAGGTCCAGCTAAAGCTGCTCAGCAGCAGGACAGTGCAAACACTTTGGTAAATTGTGCTGGGCTTTTGCAGCTGGAGGGGCTGCAGGAGCAGCTGTCACTTGGGCTCACTCAGGCCTGCATTGTTTATTCCAGTGTGGAATTTGGCTCAAACCAGCCCAAATGCCAAGGGAACAAGAGATTTGTTTAGAAGGTTGAGGAGAGCCAGGGGCTACAAGCAGCCAGTCTTGTTTCCATAATGGATTAATAAATATACAAACATAAGAAAGGTTTAATGAGCTTTGCTTCCACAGGCTGAAGTCATCTCTTACAGCTTTGGAAGAGCCAAGCAGCAGAAAAATAAAAATGATCCAATAGGAACAATATTCATGAGTTTCCAAAAAGGCCTTTCAAAAATTCTTCAGTGAAAAGCTAAAAATTATGGTTGCACGAGGAAGAGAAACAATTACGGAATGCTGAAGGCTTGAGCAGTAGGGGCACAGGAAATGTGAGAAAATCAATTTTATGTACAAAGCAATAAACTGTCAGGACTATTATTACTTAGGAAAGGGAACTTTAAGTTATCACAGCCCGAATTCTCTTACCCCCAGTATATTTATAAAAACTAGAAACTACCACTCTCCATCCCCTGGGAACCCAAACTTTGTGATAATTGCCTAAAAAGGGGAAGGTTGTGGAGGAGAAATGACAGTCCCAAACCTGTGGAAGGACTTCCAAGCAGACACCACACAGACTTAGCCCCTGGACAGGTGACATGAGTAAAGTGTTCATTCACACCCAGCACAAATAAGGGGGAAGGGGGGACATTTTCACCACGTCCTAAACAATAAGAGTGTAGGGTCACTAAGTGAAGTCTGGCAGAACTGTTAAATGCCTTTTTTTACACACAGCAATTCCATTGCAGAACTCACTGCCAGGATTGCCCAGAGAAGCTGTGGCTGCCCCATCCCTGGAGTGTCCAAAACCAGGTTGGACAGGGCTTGGAGCAGCCCGGGATAGAGGAAGGTGTCCCTGCCATGGCAGGGCTGGAATGAGATGAGATTTAATTTAATGTCCCTTCCAACACAAACTGCTCTGGGATTCTGTGATCTTCCAGACCAGGCTACGAAAGTGCTCTAAAAGCAGCTGAACTGATGGCACAAAAGCCATTCAGAGCTTTTTAAAATGCCAAAGCCCACTCAGGACATCTGTAACAAAGATTTCCAAATTTCTCACTCTCCAGGCAGACACTCAACACCTGCCCTGTTTCATATTCCTTCCCTCAGCCATTGCCACTGCCCAACACAGTGTTGGAATATCTGGATTTCTGGTGGAACCCAGTGCAGCCATTCATACAATTTTTACTGCCCCTAACACCCAAGAGACCCAAAGTGAACAAATACACAGTTTATGCAAAAAAAAAAGTTTTACTAGAACGGGGAAACTCTGCATTGTTCTCCAGCACAGGTAAATGAAAAAGATCCCTAATTATTACTTGTAAATTATGCAGCTGTTCACAGTCACAATTTACAATGCAATATTTATCTGAAACATCTTCCCCTGCCCCATCTGCAATTTACTTCAGGGAAAAAAGCAGGAAATCAGAGCTTCCCTTTTCCAGAGGTAATTAAATTCTGTATTCTATTTTTAAAGGGAATGCAATAATCCACTGTAAAACAACTGATGAACACAGTGAGGATCTGTTGAATTTATAAACAAAACAAAAGGCACCACATAAAAAGAAATGTTGCTGAATTTGAGATTTGTTTTTTATTATCATTTATTGCACTAAGGAACAGCGGGGCAGTTTCACAATCTCACCTTCTGCTTTGAAAGAGTCTGTAGTATTTACTACTCTTAAACCCAAGAGTGTTTTTATCATTGGACTTGATAAACGTTGGAGGTTTGTCCATTTGTTAATCAGCACAGACATTAAAAAAAAAACCATTTAAATTCATTCCTTCATGGACAATTCATCTTCTCCTATCACAATGACAAAGGCTCGAGATTAAAGCAGGGTTAATGTTTGGAGAAGATACAGAAGGCTCTGGGCCTATGGATGCACATACAGGGGAAGATTAACCAGATAATAAAAAAATAAACCAAAATAGAACTATTTTTGTTTTTGTGTCCATGAATTAATATCCTAAGACCAACATCACCTATGGGCAAAACATACAGCATTCCAGTCATTCCCAAGCACTTGGAGCTAGGGCTGGTTCAGAGTAAAGAGTGGGATACACAAGTCCAAGTGAGCCACTACAAAGCCCATCCTACAGCAAATCCCTAGAGCACTAAGGCTAGTAGTAACCAACACCTACTTGAAGGTTATGGCTGTTCCTTATGGAGTGCAAAGTCAGAACTTTTCAAACCCCAGTCATCTTTATATTAATTTACACATAATTCATTAATTTCAGCGTCCCAGTAAAATATAAGAAAACAGTCTTTCCACAGGTATAAAATGTGGAAATATTTTAAAAATAGGGGAGTCATTGTTTTCTAACTCAATTGTGAACATCAGGTTCCGGATTTAATCTTGGTCAGAGGTTCTTGTTGTAAAGAATCCATGTTTTTTGTGGCTTTTGCATGCACTTAACTGGAACAAAGCTTGCTGAATGTCTTCTTAAGAGCTCACCAGAACATAAATCATGCTGCAGAAGAAAAAAAAAATATTAAGATGCATCATTTTGATTAGTGTTACACATTTATTTCTAACAGGGTCTATTATAAGGAACAAGTCCATGTGAGATATGTGGATTGTGACTGAATATTTGACAAAATGACTTCTACTTTTGACTTCAACAAAATCACATTTACATCGAACACTTTCCTCTGAAAACAATGTTTCAGCTTCTTAATTAAAATACCCTGGGATTTATTGTATTATGCTTAACAGAAGAAAAGTTTGGAGATTTTTAGTCTACAGTCATGGAACAGAGATTCAAAATAGTAATTCTGACCAAATTAGGATTTGTGTTTTAAAGCAGAATCAGGGGTGAATGTGGATTATTTTCAGGAAAGCTGGCACTGTAGATGATCATACAGATTCCCAGCATGTTTTGAGCTGGAAGGACTTTACAGATCATCTCACTCCAACCCCTGCTGGGAGACCTTTGGCAAGACCAGGGTGCTCCAAGTCCCCTCCAACAGAGCCTGGAACACTTCCAGGGATCCAGGGGCAGCCACAGCTTCTCTGGGCACCCTGGGCCAGGGCCTCCCCTCCCTCACAGGGAACAATTCCTTCCCAATATCCCATCTAACCCTGCCCTCTGGCAGTGGGAAGCCATTCCCACATGTTCTATCACTACACACCCTTGTCCAAAGTCCCAGCTCTCACAGGCTCCCTTCCAGCACGAGAAGGATCACATTCCTATGGACAGTATTTCTCTCTGCACTCAGCCAAAGCTTCAGACTGAAGAGGAAAACTTACCCATATAGGTAGTAAAAAAAAGATAGAAGGTAGAATGCTAATTTGCACCATCCTTCTTTCTGGCAATAGGCTAAAATATCTGCATTCATGATGGTCGTAGGATCGTAGAGCCCCGGGCCGCTCATCACGGGTCTGCTCATGTACCTGGAACGAGGCACAGGCAGGGTGGGGTGACAGCCACAGGAAACCTGAGTCCTGCCCCCACCCACCAGGGAATGCCACAGCTGAGACAAGGAGCCTTCCCTTTACAGAGAAGCAATTCAATTCCCATGCCTCAAGGAATGGCAGAGGAGATTGGAATTGCTGCTTCGACTGGCATTCCACACTGGGAATTGTCTCAGTGCACCTCTGGCATGGCAGCAACTTTAACACACAAACTCAATCCTCACACAGCACAAGACAATAAAATCACCCCAGAAAGCCAGGTGATGGTTCCTATTGTATTGTACAGCCATGACCTGAACTTTCCCAGAAAGCATCTGGGCTTTCCCAAGACACAGAACACTGGACAGAAGACA